CCCTTCTGAGCGATCTTTACCTGTCAAGAGGGATCCGTTGGTTATCATCCCATCTTGCAGGACACTTTCCAGCGTCTGCAGTGTGTTAGAAAGCAGCTGTGTTTGTTTCACCACCCTGGTTCCTCCCTCCAGTGCTAACCTTTCCCTTTGCAGAAGGGGGAAGAGAAAAACCAGGATGGGAACACAGAGCTAATAAATTACAGAGAAGCAGACTCATTTTAATTCTCACATCTTAGGACTTCCGAGTCCCTGCCTTTGCATGCCAAATGCCTTTGATTTCTCGTAGGATTTTGGATGTAGTTCCTACATTTCAAAAAGTGACTTAAGGAGTAGTCTCTGTGTACTTTTAACAGTTCCCAACTGAAGAAAACAAGAGGTTTGAACTTCAGAACATCTGTACTTAGACTAAAGGAGGAACTTCACCGACTCCTTACTCCAAACTTAATTTCCATGGACAAGCGTCTAGGGGAAGGTAACGCTGGCTATGTCTATAGTAACAAACTACACGGGCCCCAGCAGTGGTGCACAGCACTGTCTGTCCATTAGGATGGTGTTCTTTTGTATGGTCTTTGGTCTGTGCCAATGAGCGCTCTCCCAGATGATGCCCGAGCGTGGTTTAGGAGTTAGCATAGGAACATACCAGTTGCCAGTGGCCAGGTTAGATGTGTCCATCCCCTTTCGGAGGGTAGGAGAATTTTGCCATCCAGGTGCAAGCTGCGCAGTGCCAGTCACCCCCAGGACCAGAGAACAGGTGCTGTCCCATTTTGTTTAAAAGTACAGATGCTGTCAAATTGCCCCCTCTTGCAGCATGTGTGGTCCTGATGGGTGGCAGAGTTTTTAATTCATTTCTTCTTTGAGACTGAATGATCCAGCCGTGCACCTTGACATCTTCGCAGTCAGTGCCTCCAACTGGTATGTGGTCTACCAGGCAGTGCCTAGGCAGAGCTTCGGGGGAGAGAGGAGGCTACATCGGTGCTATTCCCCTCCACCCCCAAATCATCACTGGCTACCTGGGGGTGGGCTCCTCTGTCACGTACCATGGTCACGTCCTGCCTGCTGCACCTCCCGTCCTGCTTGGACCAGGTCTGAATCTGCCTGAGATTACTGGGACATTGCAGTTGGAGAAGATCAGGAGCAGCAGATAATAAAACCAAGCAGATGTTTGTGTTTTGTTTTTTTTTTTTTTTCCCAAGGAGAGGAGTAATACAAAAGAAGGGGAAGAGACCCTGGTAACTATTGACAACTGAGTGCCAGCAGCTAATCTCAGTGAGGACTGGATCAGGCCTTAAATGTCTGCTAGCTAAAGAAACACTGCTGAAGTAATGGTAGCGTTAGCTCTTTTTCTTAAGTGACATGGATACTGGGAGCCTTCAGCTCTCCCTTCTCCTGTCACTGGCCCCAGGGAGGGCTAGCTGGACCTCAGCTGGCTTTTAACCTTCTCAAGCAGACCGGAGCCCCGGACTTGGGCTGCCCATCCTGGAGCTTGCTCTGCCCGTTGAGCACCAGCCGAAGTGACAGAACCCTTCAGCCCTCCGTGGATTTGGAGGCACCTCCCAGACTTCCTTATCTCCCTGGAAATCGCCTCTCTGCTGTTGGGACGTCTGCTGGGTGTACCTGTGTGTGCAGCCCCAGCATGTGCAAGCCTCATTTGTCATTTACAGTGCCGGCCAAAGCCCCAGACACCATCCCAGACAACTTGGTCCTGTTCCCCTTTCCTCTGCTTCTGTTCCATCCAGGAAAGTTCATTTTCTCAGACCCTCAATCTAATGTGTAAATGCTATCCTGAGCCAAGGACAAACATTCACCCAACTTTCTAAGAGAGACTAAGCGCGTATACTTAAGTAGGTAAAACTGGAGCGCATCTCATTCGAGATGGACTTGATTCCAGTTTGTTACCCATGCAGAGTTGCTCCACGCTACAGCCTGGGAAGGAGAGAGCTTATCTGCATCCTTCAATAGAAGAGGAATTGGAGCCTGCGATCTCCCGGCTGCCTGTGCAGGACAGTCCACCTTTGGCAAGGAGAATGACTTGAAGCTGGGGAGGAGGAGGAGCGGGATCCATTTTGGATCCCACACGGGGATGCCTGTTGTGCGCGCGTCGCTCGCAGGAGACTGCACCAGGGCTTACACGAGAATATGGAGGGGTTTGGGCAGCAAGCCAAACCAAGCTGGGTTGTATGAAACGCAAACAGAAAATAGCAATTCGCAGTGCCTCATAACTCAAATCAAACCTGTAAAGGGCTTCACAGGGCCAGGAAAAGGTTATCCCTTCGGCAGCAGCCCTGCCAAATGTCTCATTTCCTTTCCGAAACCACAGAGCCCTACGAACTCTTCAGAGACCTTTACAGGGATCTTCGGTGACAGGAAGGGTTAGGTGTAACTTTGTTAGTTGTTAAGGCTCACGTCGCAAGCTTTCATTTCATAGATGTTAAAATTAGAAGGCGGTGTTGTGATCCTCTAGTCTGGCCTCTGACGTAACAGTTGCTGTACTGAGCCTAATAATGGGTGCGTCAGTTCTGTTGTATATTTTAGAAAAGTGTTTGCTCTCTGCGTCATAGAAGCTTCTGCCCCAGCGGTTAATTATATCTACTGAAACATACCTGTTTGTTTCTGGCTTTGTTTGGTACTGCATATTCAGTGGTTGACATAAGTGCCGAGTTGGTATCTCTTTTAAAAAGGGAAGTTTCAGTATGTGGTTGGCTGCGTATTATTTCTCTGATTTACTTCTCTGGAAAGACTGTAATTGTCATTACAGGGTTACTGGAAAGCTGAAGTGAGACCTGTGCGCTGCGTTATGATGTTCGGTTCTTTGGTGTGGGAGGTGTGGGTGGCATCCCTATTGAACGCAAAGAGCAGTGACATACTGGTAATGTGCTGTTGCCACTTCTGTGCGTTCAGAGCTGAGCTAATACTTGAAGGCTGCCAACATGGCGTGTGTTAAAGTTGAGTTAAATTAGGATCGCCTTACTTACAATGTTTGTTTCATGTAAGAAATGTTAATTCTAGATGCTTATCTAGAACAACATCAGTGTAACTGGCTGAATTAGCAACCAAAGGCCAAAGTATGACAGAAATGTCAGGCTGTAAAACACATCAGCTGGTAGGGATTAGGAGAGTGCTCTGGCTCCATTAGGTCAGTTATAAACCATCGTGAGCTATTTTTCTATTAAAGAAGAGGTCTCAGTTAATGAATTGTTGTGTGTGTGAATTAATGCTAGATGAGTCCCCTGGGGCTTTCCTGATGAGGGTCAAATAAAATATTAATGAAATTAAAACAAACAATCCCCTGCTCTTCCCAAGTACCTTCCGGATGGGTTTCTCTAAGCGTTGGTCAGGGAGGCTGTGGAGCCCTAGAAGAGACAGGCCAGTGTCATTATTCCCTTTTCACAGGGAGGGAGATGGAGGCGGTGGAAGGCAGCGACTCCGGGGCCACACAGTCCAGCAGCAGGGCTGCTCGGGAGGTCCGAGAGTTCTCCTGTCTGGTGCCTTTGCTCTGATCCCTGGTTTCGGCTCCCTTCTCAGAGAAATGAAAGTGCATCCAGACTGCTCCTGCGCTGGCCACCTGGAAGCTGATCTTTCTGGGTCTGGGATGGCCTTTAGGAGTCCCAAATCTCAAGTCTTCTTATTCACAAAACTTTTCTGTGCTTCCAGATCAGAGAGTATAACCCAGGAGATGTGGCTTTTTTCTCCTGATGCCTCATCCACAGGACACATTTCCTTGTCTTGCAGATTGTCCATTCCAGAGGCCGAGTACAGGAGCTGGAATGACAGGCTGGGGAAGGACGGTCTCTTTTTGGTTACATCTGTGCAGTGCAGTACAGTTCAGTGCAAAAGATCTTAAGCTGGATGGAGTCAAGCAAACTAGCTTCAGGAGCAGCATCCCTGAAACACTTCAGTCCAGTTCCCAGGCTAACACAGTCATGGTGCTTTCATACCCTAAACTAGGAACTCCGTGACATAACAGGGTGTTAAATATCTATGGTGTTTTTGGACATGGCACAAAGCTGTAAATTTATTCAGAGGGATCTCAGAAATCTTCCTGCTGCTGTAAAGTGTAAGGATGTACTCTGCATCTCTGGGCATGACTCTCTCCGGTACACTGAGAAGCAGTCTAGTGTATGGAGAAGAGGGAGACCTAGGCAGGCACTCCAAACTAAACAGAGTTGATTCCATTTGCATCATGCAAAATCAAAGCTAAATGCGTTTTCTCACACCTATTTGTGTACCTCGGGCATCGAACAGCCTAAGCAAGACTCGTCACATTTTCTGCATAACGTGCTGGTGCATGTATGCGTGTGCATGTGCTCTGGAGAGGGCAGGGCTGTGTAATACCCCTTTGGCAAAGGCCACTGGGGGCCCATTTGTAGCTAATGACAGCACATGGCCAGTTAAGGATAGTGTAACTTACTGCACTGACAACAAGTGCAAAGAGGAATTTAGGAAGATTGTCATTATGAACATTTTAAAGCACTTCCCCATTATTTTTCCCCCCCTTTGTCTGAAGATCAAATAAACGAGGAAATGGAAATACTAAAATTATTTCAGAGGACAATCAACATGCTGATAACCATTCCTCCCTACTTCCTCCAAAAAATTATTGTTGGGTCCTGACTGCCTCGCATTGTGTGGGTATCACTCCTAGAAACTGGAAATCGGAGGTGACGGTGGCCAAATCTTTTCACCTCCTGATGGGGAAGTTTATTGCATTCTTGGTAAAGATACTTGTTTCTGTAAATAATAATTAAGAAAACAATAATAATTTTGTCGTATTTCTATAGCAAACCACAAAAGGGTGTCCTGCAGTCCACTCGCTCTTTCTACCCTTTCATCTCCTCGTCTTTCTTTCAGGATTCACCAGGATCTTGTTGCACTGCTGGTGTAAGCCCCCCTTCCAGAAGAACTACACTTGCCCACCTCTGTCTCCCCGGGAACAGCCGAAGCGGGGTGCAGAGCGATAAAAATTTATGTTTTCATCAAACCGGGCCAAGGAGAATGGGGGTTCCACACTCAAAAGAATGAAGACGCGACAGAACAAGGACTCAGTACGTGAGATGGGAGAGCGGGGTGGGACACCAGAGCCGAGCCGGAGCTGTGGGTTGGGACCGAGGCTCACAGCAAAGCTGGTGGACATGAGTTCGGTGTAGTGGCGCGCCGGGGGCTCGGGGGCTTTGGGAAGGTGGGGACAGGGCAGGAGTGGAGGGAGATGCAAAGCAGGACTGATCCAGTGATCCCTCTCCTAGATGTCAATGCGGAGTGGACGGAAGAAAGAGACTCCAGGGCCCCGAGAGGAGCTCAGGTCACGGGGTCGAGCTTCCCCCGGCGGCGTCAGCACCTCCAGCAGCGATGGCAAAGCTGAGAAATCCCGACAAGCGACAAAGGTAGTATAAGCTAGTACGCGAGTGTGGGGTGCCCGAGGACGGCCCAGGCCGGCTGGGATCCGTTTGGGGATGCAGGGGTGCAGACCAGAAGGATCCACTGAGGAACCCGTGCTGGGTTAGCTCTCTGGAACGGGTGGGATCCCTCTTTCCTTTCATCCTCAGCATCTTGCACTCCCCGCCGTCTCCCAAGAACTGGTCTTCAGTCTCGCCAGCCCTTTTTAGTACTAGTTTTTGCGATATCTTGGCTCAGTGTTGCTCTGCTAAGGTCTTCAACACACGCGCCGTGGTGGCTGTGTCTCGTTGGGTGCAGCCCGTGAAGGCCTGGCAGGGTGGGAAATTTCCCCATGACCCTCCCACCTCCCTGTTCTCCTTTTCTCCCTTGCAGAAAGGCCGGGTGGAGGAATCCTGCACCCCCAAGGGCAGCAAGCAGGGCCGGACAGAAGAGATCTCAGAGAGTGAGGGGGAGGACACCAACGCTCCCAAAAAAACCAAAACCGAGGTGAGTTCTCCCTGCTGTGATGGCTGGCATGTCCTGGCTCCAGGGCAAAGGATTCTCCTCTTCCCTTCCTCTGCTGCTCATGCCCGCCCAGCCTGAGGTCCGTGCTGCTTGGGAGCCCTGGCGCCTTGGGTTTCACACCGCAGCTCTTCTAACCTCAGTGGCACCTGCCTGGCTACAAAAATGCCACCAGAGTGATGATGGAGCAGATGGAGTCCCTTGTCTGCCAGGGACTGCCGCGCTCTCGGAGCTGGGCACGTGCCCTGCCTTTCCCGGCTCAGTGGCGAGAGCCGGGCTCCGTGCACGGCTACCGGACGGGTTCGACTCGGCCTCTTTTGCTCCCCCAGAGCAGCGTGAAACGGAGGGTGCTTAAGTCGTGGTGGGTTCCAGGTGACCGTCGTGCAAAACCTGCTCATGCACACGCGCTGCGTAGTTGTGGCAGGGCTTTTCTGGAGTGCCGGCAGCACCGGGCTGGATCGGTGGTTGGATGGTTGGAGGAAGACTCAGCTCTTGTGCTCCTCAGTTCCCTGTTAGCCCGTTGAGGGAACTGGCCTCAAAGGCCTGCAAACACGGCGATATTTGCTTGTATTATGAGGTCATTGTAATTAAACCGCTGCGGTTACACCTATGTAATTTCTCCACGTGGACATTCCGTTCAGCTCAACAGTGATCTTTTTTCAGTTTAGCCTCTCTTGTAAGTCCCGAGGCTCAAGAGTGGCACTCGTTAATTGCCCGTGCTAACTGCTCAATCACCATGCTTGATTGCCTGAGGCAAGAGCTGGTGGGCAGGAGCAGGGATTGGGAAGTGCCTGGGAGACTCCAGGAGGTAAGGAGCCAGGCAGTGAGGGGGGGCTGGAGGGGAGCGGGTCTCCTCGCCCAGGGAGAGCTCTGCAGGGACAAGGAGAGTGATTCTGGGTCTGGGGGCTGTGCTGGGCTGTGCTGGGCTGTGCTGGGAGCACTGCGGTATGCGCTGCTCCGTGCCACCTGGTGATATCATACCCTGGCCAGCGGCCCATCGCTGCTGGTGGTGGTGGTGGTGCTAGGACCTTTCGTACGTATTCTCTCTCAGCCTCGTCTGTAACAGTCCCCTGCCCTCCCTTGCTGCCTCTGCACGCAAGGTGCCCATCGTTACCTCCTCCCTGAGCACGTGATGCTCATGAGGGACCTGAGAGCGCTGAAGTTGCTCCAAGGGGAGGCAGGAGGACGGTGTTATTTATACGATGTCTCCTTCCCTCTGTGGGGTTTTCTAGTGTGGGCAGAGGAAGGTCAGAAAGCACGTTCTCTGGGGACTTGAAAAGTATGGGGCACGGTCTGGGAGGCCACGTAACGTTTCTCTCCTTCCCCCTGCTTAAGGAGTTGCCCTGCCCTCCATCCCCGTCCGATGTTGACAGCCTCGATGGCCACAGCTTCAACGACGAGATGAGCAGTGACCCACGGGACATCGACCAGGACAACAGGAGCACCTCACCCAGCGTCTACAGCCCTGGCAGCGTGGAGAATGACTCCGACTCCTCCTCCGTGCTGTCCCAGGGGCCGTCTCACTCCTACCACCACCCTCCGCTCTTCCCCCAGAGCCCCCCGGTAGCTCCCCCTCCGGACAGCCTGGCCCGACCACCCGAGCCCGGCTTCGGGCTCGGGGGCGACGTGCACCCCCAGGGACCCCCGGCGGGGAGCTACCACTCGCAGCTGGAGGGCCAGGCCTCCCGAATTTACCAGGCTCAAGCCCCGCAGACACCCTCCTCTTCCTCCTCCTCTTCCTCCTCTTCCTCCTCCTCCTCCGCCCACGCTCCTCTTTACCCGACGGCCAACGTGGTGCAGGTGGGGGCCAAAATTGCCAGCGGAGCCGCGGGGCTCCCAGCGCCGGGGGGTCGCGAGCAGACCCTCGGCACCAAGCACAACCCGCCGCCCACCACCCCCATCTCGCTGGCGTCGGTGGTCGGGGGGCTCCCCCCACAAAAGACGCCCCCGGCCAACCCTCCGGCCGCCCCGCCGCCGTCTTCGGCCCCTTCCTTC